ACCATATTTCTAAGCTTTTCAGCGCCGAGTACAATGACCTCAGTTTTATCTGAATTAAGAAGCAGAAAGTTAGCGGCCATCCAGATCTTTATGTCTTTAAGACATTCCTGCAGTTTAACTCATTGGTGTGTGTTATCTGGCTTCATGGACAGATAGAGCTGGGTGTCATCTGTATGCTATGTCTTCTAATGTCTAATAATAATAAGTCCTCTGTTGGAGCTGTGAGAAAATAATCTAACAGTAATGAGTTATTTATTTATTCTGAGCTGGATGAGATTAGACTCACTGAGATTAAAACTGAGCAGTGAGAGGTCAGGACATAATGGTGTGTGTGCAGTCTGTGCTTTGAATGCAGACTAATTGTAAGTGTTTGTTAAGATTGAATTACTGTTTATAATTGTCAGTGGTTGTCATGAAGACTTGTGTGTGATAAAGAAGTGAGGATGGTGTTTAACAGCTGTGTAATAAATCCCAACAGTGCCAGGACATTACGCCTGAATGTGTTCATGTCAGGTAAAACAGGATGTGGTGGTAATAAATGTTTCTCCACAAAAATGAGTTTTATAAGACTAAATTCTCTCCCTGCTGGCTCAAACTTTAATCAAGGATTAGTGATCCATTATTAATGTCAGAAATGTTCTTTAAACATTCTGAGGAAAGCTGCAGTTCTGCGCTGTGTGGCAAGCAGAAGTTGGACCCAAAATGCAGGCTCTCAGACTCAAGGGATAAACTCAAAATATGCTTTATTGGCTGGCAAGGAAGATGCATACAAAACCAAACCACAGGGAGAGAGTAACACACAGCAGCTGGGAGGAATCAGACATAACCAGACCAAAGGGAAGCAAAACTCAATATATTCACATAGGACACAGACCTTCAAAGTAAAACAGGAAATGTAACACTGATGCGGACTGACTAGGGGAAACAGAGCAACAAGGAAACACAGAGACCAACATAAAGGAGGCGCAGAGGGCAGCTACTAAACACTCAGAAAACTACACAGAATACAAGAGACCCAAACTTAGATACAAGACTATAGAATAAACTGAGGCAACAAAGACAACTTAGAACATGCATCATAATACAAACACCCTGAGACACAAGCGACTCCAGACACTGGGTCAGGAGATCCAGGTCAAGTTCAGACGTTTGTTCACGTTTGATTCTTACAGTGGGTCAGAATTTACCTGAACTTTACTGTGACGGGGAAAATGACCTCTACAGACCAAAGCATCAGGCTTTTAACATGGGAGTCTATGGGACAGACTCACTGCTGCCTCTGCTGGACGTCAGGGGAACTGCAGCTTCGTTTTTTAACCCCTGAGTTAATGTTTGCTCCACATGTATCTCATGATACATATACAATAAAACATAATGACATGCACCCCCTCCTGCACACAGCACGGGTCAGTGTCTGATGTTTGTAACTTTGTTGTTTTTACAGGTGAAACACAATCGCCTCGTACAGGAGATGAACCATCCAACAGCAGGACGCATCGCTGTAGTCGGTCAGCACGCACACACACACACACACACACACACACACACACACACACACACACACACGCTGTCCTCACTGTAACCCTTCGCCTTCAGTTTTTGACACCAGTTTGGTAAATGACATTTTCCAAGAACACAAACAAATATTTCCCATTAAAACCACAGGATTGTGTTGATCTGACACACAGACACACACTCGTCCACAGGGACTCTCCTGCTTTGATGGATCTCAGCATGTTTCCACTAAGAGGAAGCTGTTTGTCCACCAACATGTATTTACTGTCTAATCTGTCTTCTAACCTGTGTGTGTCTGGCCAGCCGAGCAGGAAGACATTCATAATGACCAGAGGCAGGTCACAGCGTGTGTGTTATAGTACTTGTATGGATCCTCATACGGTCTCATCCTGGACTCAGAGGGTTGGTGTCAGTCGCAGGTCTGTCGGCACACTTGGTTCAGATTTTTAGCTGGTGGTGACATCGGGGGAAAAACGTCCCTTCAAAGCAAACGTCTCAAACACAGCGAGGCTGCTGCTCCATTTCATGCAGTTGGAGTTATTGTGGTGTGGCTGTGGTCTCCAGCCGCTGTCCTCTGGTGTCATAGCTGACATTCCACCAGCTGAGGAAACAGCCAGCACTGCTGCTCAATAACATCAGGATGCTTCCAGAAACATACTGAAAGAACGAGTGATTATCTTCCCGTGAACAGAGCCGTCCATCATGGGCTGTTAATAACAGGGCAGGTATTTGAATCCGAGCAGCCAAAGACCAGATCCACACTGGGGGGGGGCTGTGGTTCAGTAAAATGAGCTAACGAGGAAAGATGGAAAAATTCGGAGAGTCTAAGCCAGAAATCAAAAACAGTGCCTGATCAGGGTCTCGAGCCGGCTGCTCTACAGCCATACAGCATGTGGTTGTGTTTTAATTCTTTGCATCTTGTTCTGTTTAATCTGAACGAGCCCCTAAAAGTAGTGAGTGATGACTGCCGGCCTCTCTGGGCTTTTATTACCAGTATTAAATTCAACGCTCTGTTTTTAAAACGCTACGATGCAACGACAGCCCAGCGGTTTGACAGACACCAAATATTTGAACATGTTAGAAAAGAATGACTCTGAGGCTAACAAAGATTAGCACGGGTGCATGAGGCTTCATAGCCAGGACTCCAAACGTGCAGCAGTATGTTAATGACGGAGATGTTAATGACGGAGATGTTAATGACGGAGATGTTAATGACGGAGATGTTAATGACGGAGATGGATGCTGTCAGGTGTTCTCCTGACTGATGTTTGGTCCATTTTCAGCATCTTTTTCTGCCATGATGCGTTTGTCGCTGCCCATCAGGGACCCTCAATGAAAGTTAACATGAGGGGAAATAAGTTAGCGTTTATCTTCCAGCCTCACTGTGCTAATGTGCTGCTAATGTTAATCATTATTGAGTTTGGGAACTGCAGACGAGCTTGGCCAATGAAATCAGACTGAAGAGGCGGATACATGTGAGCTGGGGCGATAATGTAATCAGTACTCATTAGATAAACATGTTTGTCACATGTATATTAGTGATGGATTCCCTCAGGTTCTTTTTAAACCTTTCGATTGAAACCAGAAATGTTCAGGAAGGTTCGGCTCACTGCAGATGCACTTAAACTCTGTTTCCTGCAAAGACGGAGTCCTGATGGGCTCAGTGACCTCACAGAGCAGAGCTCTACTACATGCTTCACTCACCCAGTCACAGTCACACAGCTTTAATCTGTGCCTAAACACACAGATGGAAGCATTATGACCTGACGTTCATTGTCTTCCCACGGATACCTCAGCATGTGGACCTGATTCGTGAGGGATCTATCCACTGACCCTCCAATTAGTAGGCGACCTGCTCTTCCACCTGAGCCACAGCCAGCCAATCACAATCACATGAATAACGCTCACAGAGATTTAGGTTTGTATGTTTCCTGCAAACTGAACCTCAAACTGAAAATCACCGTCCTGACTTTGTGGCCGAGTCCTCACAGTGTGACTGCAAACAGATTTATGTGCCCACAGCATGACCAACACATGTGCACACACACATCCTGCTAACATGTAACATGATGTCTCACTGCCTCCGTTTGCTCTGTGATCCTGTTCCCTCATGTGATTTACACCAAACCATAATGTGAGAGGAATCTGTGTGTGTGTGCGTTTGTGTGTCAGCCCATTCACAGCCCTAACAATATCCTTTTCTTTGCTCTGCACTTTCCTCTTCTGTGCATCTCTGTTTAGTAAACAACACCAGACACAAGTGTGTGTGTGTGTGCACATTTGTGTGGTGTGTGTGTTGTCTGTACCTCGGAGGTTAATTGGGCGTGAAAACGTGCTGCTCAGAACATTCATTGGCCGACCTGTTGATGGCACTCCTCTGTTTGTGAGTGTGTATTCATGTGTGTGTGCGTGTGCTGTTTCAGAGCCAGGAAATAGCTCAGAACAAACAGTAACAGACTGAAACGTGATGGAGGCAGCGAATCAAAGCAGGACACAAACCAAGCTATTCAAGCTAGAGCCAATGCAACCTGCAGGCAGCGCTAAACACAAACCTGAGGACGGCCCACCTGCCCTGACAGTCCCAGTAACCAATCACAACCACCTGTAACTAAGCAACCAGCAACACCTGTAACTAAGCAACCACAACTACGTGTTACTA